GAAGTGGAATTGCTTTCCCTTGTCTAATCCTTCACCCTCTTGTTAAACTCATATACCTCTTTTGTGCAGAAATGAAGACTCCTCACTCACTCCATCTTCAATGGGTCAGGCTAAGGGATTCTAGCAATGCCATTCCCAAGGCCCCAACCACCAGGTAATGAGCATGAGGTGGCACAGGGCTCCCTCTGTAAAGCTTGTGATTATCAGGTGGAAGGTTCCACAGGTCACTGGGGTGTGCTGACAGGTTGGGTCTATCTAGGAGTCCCACCAAGTATTGGGGTGCTTGGCAGAACCAGACATCAGATGTGGTGTGGGATGAGGGGTGTGGTGTCAGGGAGGGATTCAAAGATGGTTTAACTGCAACAGCACAGGGTCAGTGTATTCTCAGCTGGGATCCCCAAACCCTCCCAGCCAGCACAGGCGGGCCCCAATGCTCCTGCATCTAGTGGACAGGAGACTCTTCTCTAGTGGCTTTCTCTTTGGCCTTGACAGCAAAGAACCTATTCTCACAGGCCAGTAAAGGGTTGGGGAAAATCTTTGGGATTTTCCTTCTGGGGAAAGAACAGAGAATTAGTAATTTGTTGGGTTTGAACCCTTAAGGATTTGGCTGTCTTGAAAAGCATACCATGAAGCTATTAATATTTACTAACACAGAGAACAAGGCGTGATGAAAACTTTAGGAATAATAATAAAGCAGTAAGATAAAAAATTAATACAAGATTTTGTTTTAAATGTCCACAGCATTGGCATCCTTCCTGCAGGCAGGACTTTGAAGATACCTCGGTAGATCCTAGTTTGTAACCTCCTGGTTCCCTTTTTCAAGGATTCTTGTTTCTTGGGGTGATACAAATGTGTTGATTTCTACTGAGTGGACGGATACTGACCACAAGAAAACATTTATCTAATACTTATTTAAAGAGAAGTTATTCAATTGAGAGGAACATGTGGTTAGAAGTGGAGAGGCCAGTGGAAGCACAAGGTGGGCGGTCAGGATTAAAGTGTGAAGAACAGGCTCATGGGAAATGAGCCCAGTCACCTAGCTCTTGCTGTTGTTAACATTAAGTACAACTTACACCGACCCTGTGAACAGCAGGTCTGAACCCTGTCCTATCCTGTGCCATCCTCATCCTCTGACACAAAAAGCCTATTGCTAGCTTTGATGTTAACTTTGATGTCACTTTCCAAGGGTAAGTTCCATCTAGCAACATATGCTGAGCATGTGAAACTAAGCTTTGTACTTCTGCCTCTAAGAGCATTCTGCCTGAACCTTCTCCAAGCCATGTTTGTTCTTTTGGCAATCCATGGCATATTCACTACTTCACCACCACCACAACTCAAAGGCATTGATTTCTCTCCTGTCATTCTTATTCATTGTCCAGCTCTCTCAGATGCACAGCCAAGTGACTGAAACAACCATCACCCGAAAGCAGGGGACATCAAGTGGACATCATGGCTCCTCGGCACTTTGGAGAGGTCCCCGACAGCAGATTTGCCCAGTCCAATGTCTTGATTTCCTGACTGCTGGTGCCAAGGGTATTGACTGAATCCATTTAAGATGAAGTAGATGACAATTCAATCTTCTCCCACCTATCACGGTTATTGGTGGTGAGGATTTTTGTCTTACTGTTGAAAATGTGCTCAGAAGGGTAGACACGCTTGTCTGTCAGTTTCTTGTACTAAGGGGTGAAATGAATGTTTTTCTTGTTCCTTCCTGCAAATCAGGAGGGAGAAGCCACCCCCTTCCGGGCTTCCCTTGCACTCATTCCTGGTGGCAGGTGGGGGGTATTTCCTCCCTCCCTCACCCGGCTTTTGCCCACAGAAGCTGTCAGGAGGTGTTGCTAGGGGGTTTTGGGGAGATCTAAGTGTGTGAAGCTCAAGAGCAGTAAATTTGAGTCATTATTCCTGTGAATATAAGACAGACACTTGCTTAAGAGGGGCTGGCCACAGTTTGTGGGATTCTTGAGTTAAAAATTAACCCCTGCCCTGTTTCCCACCACAAATCCACAAAAGTTGCAGCCTCCTGGAGGAAAGACTAGAAAACGTTTCTTATAAAAGTATTATTTTTAATAAATCGATGTATTTCAATGTTTTAACATGATAACCCAATGCTATAGATTAAGGTAGCAAAATTGAAGATTCCTGGCCTCTCTTTTTTGAATATATATAAACACTATGAATGAAAGCACACGTGCATTCAACATCACGAGAATTTATCTTCAGGTTCAGGAAACTTCTCTAACACCTTTCACCAGTGAAGATGTATGTGTGTGCTAATGGGGCACAGAATGAAATGCTCACGATGCAGCTGCACTCTAAAATCATAGTGAAATGCAGGTCACTCCACAAATCTTTTAAACAGGATTTAAAGAAAAATAGAGCATGTATCAAAATTAGAGCATCTTAGAGAAAAGGAGACACCAAACACACACGAATGAGAACCCTGAAGCAGTGAATGTGTTTCTACCCGTTTTAGGATGGAAGAAGCCGTGGGCTCAGAGTCCTGGAGCTGTCTGGAGTGTTCAATCTCCTCAGTCACGGATGGATCGATGAACTAATAGCAGGACTCCCTGCCTCGTATGAATGCTGGTGAAGGGTACCTTGCACTACTGCTGTGGATCTGAGCAATAGCAGGCTGGATTTCATGCGCTCTACCACAGAACCAGCACCGTCTATGATTCTACAAACCATACATGGTCCAAAGCTGATGCTACCTCCTTAGGGTTTACAAAAACCAAAACACAACAAGAAGAGAAACCGGCGGCTTCTGACACTCTTATTACTGTCCACTATGAGAAATGTGCACTCATTAAAACACCTGACTCCATCACACCACACGTGTCCTAATGTTGGAGTTTTTGATACAGGACTTCTCTTAACGAAAGACTGGCTGCAGAACAACCAGACTTTTCTTCTAAAAGGCAGAGAAAAGCTAGTTAATTAAACCCATTCTTAATTTTGAACTGTAGAAGAGGGCACAATTTAAGAAACATTTTCCAAAGTTTAACCACTTATTCCTGAACCTCAGATACAACTGGATTGCAAGCAAGCCCCTGTCTAGAGTTCTATTGGTCTTTGCTGTGATAACTCATCTTGGGCTACTCTTATCTATGAGAACCCTTCCTATGATTTTTAAACTTCAAATGATGCCGATGATAGGAAAGACAACAGAGCTGCAAAATCCTGTGTGCTGAGCTGCTTGATCCTGGGTAATCACAAAGCGGAGGCTCCTGGCTCCTCACCAAGAAGTGCTGAGCTCACAGCTGCTTCCTTCTGCTGGTCAGTGGCCCAGACTTAAACTGTGTTTAATTAGGAAAGCCTATAATCCGACATATACAGATGCATCATCTCGACACAAACAGCACCAAATCCTTTCCAATAACCTGGTACAGCCTTTCTGTGTCATGCTAAATAAATCTCATTTTCAGACCCAAACCAAGCCCAGTAATAATGGCACAGCCTTTGCTTTAGTCACAGCTATTTAAACAAGTGCTCTGCCCCTAAAAAACGGACATCTTTGAATAAGCTTTCCTCTGTGGAAACAAAAGTTAAAAAAAAAAATCAGGTGAAGTAGTTTTATCTTCTTAGGGTTGACGATCCTAACCCAAGGTTTATTCTCCCCAAGAACAGGGTGTGCTTAAGTAGAAAAAGCAATAAAAAAATTAGCCTACGGAAAAGTTAAAGATGTGGTTTACAGAGAGCTTGGGTACCTTCACTCAGAGCAAACAATCCAATATAGAACTTTAAATAAATGTAGATGATTTTTAAACCGACAAGATATATATATGTACACATGTATATATAAAGCTGGTCACTGCCTTGGGTAATTTATATACTGCATCCAGTATTTTATGTAGGACATTCATTCTTAAGGCAGAAGTATCTCATTTTACAAATAACAACTTGATTCTCACATCTACGGATCGAACCGGGAGGAGAAGTTTCCGACTGGGAGTGCTTATCTGCGGTGAGGATTTCATTCTTAGTGTAGAGAATATTTAAAAGAACATAAAAAGATGAGTTTTTTAAGACACACAATTATGACTTTTGAATTTGCGATGAATGAGGCTGTAGGTAATCCTACTTATTAGGACAAACTATTCCCATGGCAAATAAACAAACTCTGATATACTCTTCCTGACAGAATACGTCGAAAGTATGAAATATCAAAAGAGTTCTCTTTTTTGGAGTGTGTTATTTTAGACTCTGGTTTTAAAGATCTAGTATAAAAGGCAGCCCGAAGAGTTAAAAGCAGTTGAATGTCAACTCGCACTGCTAAGCCAAAGTCTACCACTTTGTATCTTCCTACCCCGTCAACCAAATCTTGTGCGGGAAGGAAATTGGTTAAGTATTTAAATAAAAATGAGACCCTCCCACCCACGCCCAAATGTGCAAAAATACTTATCAATGATTAGCGAGGAGACCCTTTAAGAAAACATCCTAATTCCAAGAAAGAGGCATCCAGACAGGCGGCACCCAGGATGCCCGGCTCCATTGGGCGGACGATTGATTGCTGGACGGACCCTCGCAGGTGTGCTCATGGGAGGAGAAAGGAGAGTTGGCCCCCTGGTGGTGGTGGTGGGGCTCTGATCATGCGGACGCACGTTCCCCCAGGTGCTCCTTCACCTCCGTCCGAGCGGCTGCCTGCATCCTGGTGCACGAAGCTTTAAGAACAAAAACAGACAAAAATTCGAAAAGACAATTCTTGCGCGCAGGTGATGGTGACGGTACTAGCATCAAGTACCATCTGTGTGCCTAGGGTTTGTGCCAGAGCTCGACAACGGTCAGGAGCAAACGAAGGCTACCCACCCAGTTCAGGAGGGATGAAGCCTCTCTTCCTTACGTGGCAGGAGTCCATGCAAGAGTTGTAAACAGTGTACAAAATACTGTAAACATAACAGAGCTCGTAGAAAACAGAAGTCAGCCCGATTTACAAGTGGGTAAAAAATCAGAGGGTGGCTTCCTACAAAGTTCTCCCTCTTGCGCCAAGTGATTTTTTTTTAATTACAAATAGAATCCTGAGCTGAGAAACTGGGATTTGGGGGAGAACCATCTTTGCATACAAAATATCCAAAAGATGTTTCATTTCTGCTTTCCTCTAGTGATACTCAAACCGCCAGCGCCAGTTCGGGCCGTGTGACTCTGGAGAGCTTAGAGTTTCGTGTGGTGGCCAGATCTGGAGGTGGCCCCTGTGCTGGCCATGGATGCCGAGGCGGCTGCGTCCTCCGCCTCCTCCAGCTCCTCCTGCAGCTCCTGGCTGACGCTGGACTGCAGAGCGGCTGGGGTCAGCCACTCCTTCGGGAGACAGCTCTGCAGGAAGGGGATACAGGAACTGAAGTAGGCCAGCCGATTGATCCAGCGAGGAATCTCTTTCCCACAGAGGATCTGCAGAGGGGAAAGGGAGTGCATTAGGAGAGGCAGGGTCACCTAGAGAGGACACGCAGGAGGAAGATGGATTTACAGAGCTGTCTCTGTGGCCCACTGCCATCTCGGGCCTCAGAGGATAGGCCACCTGATCTGTGTGGGCACAGCTCCTGGACTTTGGAACTGGGTGCCTGCTGTCAGCTCCTTCCTTTGCATTTGAACGATGCAGGAAGGACTTGTGCCAAGCCAGGATCTCAGCAGAGCAAAAGAGGCCCTAGGCAGTCAGAAAAACCAAATCAAATGACTAATTAAAAAAAGATATATTAGTTTACATAGAAAATTCATAAGCATTTTGTTTCATTCATGTACACAGCGTTTCACGTTGTGCTTCATATGATCATCCCCATATGTGTTTTATAAAATTAATTACCACTGACCTATGCCCACTATTATCTCGTCTTTTCAGGTCACAACTGGATCTTCTCCAATTCCTTCACCCCTTGCCCCAACCCACCAAACTCTATGACCTTGTGATTTCCTCTTCCCACCTCCAGCCTCCCTGTTCTGTCCTTTTCCTTCTATGGACTTTTATCCACTTCTTACTAGTTATCCTTCTATTTTTACAATAATGGTCCTATGCAGTATTCATCCTTATAAGCCTGAGTTAGTTCACTCAGCATAATGCTCTCTACCAAATGGCTAATTTTTAGCTTCAATTTCCTTCTTCCCAAAGTATTTTCTCCTTACCTGACCTGCAGTCCACCCTTCCTCCTGTCCCTGACCCACTCTTCCAAAGAGTCCACTAGTCCATAGGCAAACTTCTCTCTGATGGGTCCTGGCTCAGAAGTGGGTCTACTGACAGAAGTCTGATCATCGTCTCTGCAGATTCAGGGTCCAAGGAACCCCTGCAGCACCCGCTTCTCACCCCAATACTGAGGGCATGGTTCCTGTGCACTATTTCCAACGGCACACAGGAAGTCCTGGTAACTTCCTCAGACTAACTTTCTAGTACCTTCTGTCTCTTCTGGGAAGGAAATTTCAACCAATCCATGGTCCTAGGTGCTCTGTCCTCAAGCATGCCAAAATTACCATCAAATTATCTGAGTCTCACTCAGTTGATGACTTTGGAAAGAGGCTTTAAAATATCAGTCCCCAAATTAGCTAACATTTTGGTAAGCAGACATCTGTGATTATGAAACACAACTTTGCTCCTTAAAGGTTTAGCTCTACTCCTGAATGGTTACTGCATTCATGTGAAATAGTACAACTCTCTCATTCCTGTGAAATAGTACAACTCTCTCTATAACAGGGGGAAAAGGCTGGTTCCACATGTGAGAAGGTAGCATGTTCTGACCAGAACATTTCCATTTGCCCAGAATCTATCATAGAACCAATGGGCACACAGAGGAAGGGGGGTTCTAAATGTATTTAACACACATGTGCATGTTAACAAGATCTGGGAGAAAGGAGGGGCAGACACGAAACCTACAAGAGACATAGGTCTCTCCCTGTGGACTACATTTCGTACCAAGGCGAGACTGACAACCAGGATGTGAATGCTCCACCAACAGTGTGGCCACAATCAGGAGCTCAGGACTCAGGAAAGCGACATCCAGTGCAACTCATGCCACAAAAACGTGCATCAGGAATGGGTTAATGTAGCGCATTTTATGTGCTATGCACCTCAACACCCTGAACAACTAGGGAGCAAGCCAACAAAAATTTCCTTCCTCCTGCCACCCTTTAACACCTATGCTACAGGGCAGGGTTCAGATCTGCCCTTCACAGGGTCGCTAGGATTCCTAGCTGACTTGATGATATCTAACAATAACAAGAAACCATGTATCGAAGAACCATACTTTCAAGGACCTAAGGTTAGATCTAAGAATGGTGGGAGAGAGGAGTGAATGGTTTTACAGGGAAACAATGTAAGCTGGCCCATAAGCAGCTCCAGGCATTCTCCAGAAGATCACAGGGGAGGACAGAGCATGCAGTGGGATCCCTTAGCCCCTTGCATCATGCTGGCACGCCAATTCTAAATCACAGGGTCTTGGGAGACAAGGCAGAATGGCCCCACAGGCCAGCCAAAGCTGTGACCTTCATGGAAGGGGATGCCGCATCTTCCTCCTGCAGTGGTCTCAACCACCAACCTTCTGGTTAGCAGCCGAGTGCTTTAACCACTGTGCTGCCCAGGCTCTCGACAGAGGGATGATGTTATTGTTCTTCTGTGCTGTCGAGTCAGAACCAACTCAGAGCTGATCCTCCGAGTGTTCAGAGGCTGTGAACTGAACAGAACGAGAAGGCTCACCTTTCTCCTCGGCGACAGCTGGTGGATTTGACCATGTGCCTTTGGGCTGGCAGTGCAAGTCCTTATCTGGAAATTTGTCTTTGATAAATGAAAATGACCTAATCCATGCTAAATTTCAACTTTCACTAAATGTCTTTTAAAGCATGTTCTCCCCCAGTCCAGGACCAACCCATGATCATCATGAATTCCATTTTCTTCCTTGATTGCTCCGTCTTTACTTGCTAGGTTAATCTCATGTTTCCCATGTTAGATGTAGGATCCACAGGGAGGGACACATGTCCTCCTTGGAGTCACCTGGGATGACATACGGTGTTACCACTCTCAAAAACTCATTGCTACTGTGCAGGGTGGAACTCGAAGCGGTCCCCCATCATGGTGCCAAGGCTGCAATTCCTAACAGGAAGAGAGGCCCAACTTCCCTCCTCAGAGAGACTGGTGACTTGATCAGCCTGGGGTGGGTGGCCTTGTGGTTATCAGCCCAACACATCCAGAAATGGCCACCATTCTGACGGGTTAGCAAGGCGGCTTCCTGGTGACTCCACCATAATGTGACCTTCTATAATTACAAAGTGCTTTGTGGGGAGGTACCCCCGGTAATAAGCACATATTCTACCCCTAACCAATGACTCACCTACTACTTCCGGATACTGAGGACACCTGCCTGACTTCTCTATTACCCAGATCATCACCAAATGGCCATTTAGTGACTCTACCATTCCTCCTATTGGTTTGTTTTCAACTGTAAGGAGTTTTTCCTTATTTATTTAAGCAACAATTTGTAGATTCTCATTTTAGTCTATGAGTGTGTGTGTGTATATATTCCCTCCCCCCTTGTGAACTGTCAAGTCAGATCCGACTGGCACAGCAGGAGACTGCCCTTCCTTCTCCAGCGGAACAGGTGGATTTGAACCGCATACCTTGGGGATTGTAGTGCAGCTTCTTGCCACTAGTCCATCAGAGCTCCCGTAACAAGTATAATTTTAAAACTTTTTACCATTATACAAATATATACACACATAAAATTCAACATCTGCTGATTCATCATTTAAAAAGTTATTTTTGGGTAACTATAGAGCCTTGCATACAGCTGGAAGAACAGAGATATTTCATATGCCATCCACTCATCTTCTTCCAATCATCAAGTCCTGTGTAACTGTAATACTATACTGCAATAAGGAAACTGCTATCACATCATCAATCCACCACATTCACATTTAACAGTTTTATATGCACTCAATTGCATAGATGGGGGTACCTATCATAGCCTCTGGCCAACCCTGATACTCATCTTGGGTGAAATTTATTGCCCTAGGGAGATGGTGAGCTCTGGTGGCCTAGTGGCAAGGAGGTATGCTGCAATCCCAAAGGGTTCAAGACCACCAGCTACTCCACAGAAGAATGATGGGCATCTCCTCCCATGTGACTAAATGTCTCTGAAAACTGGCCAGAGGGTCAGTTTTGAGTCGGTTCCAACTCTATGGTAAACAACAACAACAGAGTGATGGTCAGGACCTTGACCTGTAGCTAGAGAGACAGCTATGAAGCCTCAGAAAGCTCAGATCTGCAGCCCAGAGAGTGGCTATGAGTTGTAGTCACCTTGATGGCACACAACGATGATGACTCTGCAAGGATAAAGGCAGAGTTAAGACCCGTTAGCTCACAAGTCTAAAAGATTTACTATCTGGTCCTTAAGGGAATTCTGGTGGCTTAGTGGTAAGGACTTGTGCTGCCAGTCCAAAGACATGTGGTTTGAATCCATCATCTGCTCTGTGGGAGAAAGACGGTTATCTCCTTCCTTGTGTTTTAATGCCTCTGAAGAAATCCCACTGGAGGGTCAGCTATTGATTGCTGCGACTTGACAGCACACAACGGTTTTATCAGTTTCTCACCTAAAGAATTTTGGAAATCTGAAACCCTTCTTTCATTTTGTCATCTCAGTTCCTTTCTTCCAAAGCTGGCAGTATTCAGATGATCAAATACGTGGAAAGTTTGGGGGAGCTCCTGTGTGTATGATGGGGGATCTACTCTGTGAGACACGAGGGTCCTTGCAGATTCTTCCTAAGTGACTCCTGTACCAAGCACAAGGCTAGTCAGTGTCGTCAGGTGCTGTCAAGTTGACTACAACTTAGCCACTCAATGAACCACCCTGTCATGCCTGTCCTGTGCTATCTTCAAAAATCTCTGCATTCTTACACCCACTGCTAGTCACTGTGTCACTCTAGCTCACTGTGTGTGTGTGTCTGTGTGTGTGCTTTCCTTTCTTTAACTAAATCTCTATCTTTCTCAGCTTGATATCTTTTTCTAAAATCTGGCCCCTTCTAACAACATGTCCAAAGTATATGAGACAGTTTCACACTTTTGCCTCAAAGAAGCACTTCAACTGCACTTATTCTAAGATAGCTTTGTTTGATCTTTTGGCAGTCCATGAGATATTTAATACTGTTTACCAACACCACAATTAAATGGACTGATTCTTACTCAGTCTTTCTCATTCATTGTTCAACTTTCAGATACCTTTTCTCAAAAATCTGAAAATACCATGGTCATTGAGTCTTTAAACTGACATCCTTGCTCTTTTTAGCACAGATTTCTCCAAAACAGCATATCTTTTGATTTCTTGACTGCTGCTAACATGGTTGCTGCTTTCTTGATGTAGCGATGCAATCTACAATGAAGGCAGTAGTCTTTGATCTTCTGCCGTAAGTGCTCCAAG